CAAATATTCTCTCTTCGCGGTGGGAAGCGATAGGAAAAAGGAAGGTGATTATGTGAAGATAAAATGGAATGACTGATTTAGTCAGATTTGAACTCGAATTAAAGTAAATAAGAGTCGTTTAAAAAATGGAAGAATGTTCTTTGAACACGTGACAAACAAAACGTAAAGTGTATTTTAAAACGAAATTTGACGTTTGGCTGTAAATTATAGTTAAATTCAAGTTTAATTTTGGCCAGAAGGAATAATCCCTAATATATCGAAATTTTATCCACATATGACACGAATATTACGCCAGTGATGTTAAATTGTATTTTGAAGAAATATAGACATAAGATAATCGACGTCCAAGCTAAGCCTAATCCTAGCCTAACGTAACAAACGCTTATACTTACATATATATACTTTAATCGAATAATCGTTCTAATCCAAAAATTCCGTTACGACCAATAAAATGGAAATAAAACGTTCGACTAGAGTGTAATGTAAATTCGAAAATACTTATTAATGTGAGTGATTCGATGTAAAAATGGAAAAAGAAAAAAAAATTGATATTTTCTTTTAAAAACACTCCGTTGGTAAGAGATTTCGGTCGGTAAAATAAAAGGAAAAAAATTTCAAAATTGACTTTACGTCAATTTTACGTCAGAGGTGGAAAACCGTTGGCCAATTCCCCTTGGCCAAGTTGCAATTCGTCCGTCATCCGACAATCCGACAATTTTATTTTCGGATTCGAAAATGTATCGTGAAACAGTTTTATACACCGTGCTAAATGTGACCGTGATAAAATATAACCGTGCACGCCGCATCGATTATATTGCGCGTATGTAAATATTTAGTTATATATGTATACATATTTTTACAAAAAATATAAAAAGTTCACCAAATATATATATACATATGTATATTTATTATTATGAAACGAGTTTTAAATCTTGGAAACGATATCGGTGTCATACGGATGGAAAATTTAACGCGGTCGATAACAGTCGCACGATGGAAAAAGATCTATTGACATCGAAAAGTTTTGGAGAGAATTCGTTGCAACAAGGTTTCTGATGGATTAACCTAATACTATCAACCATATATATACACCAATTCTTCAGGTGGTAAACGTATAATCGTTTCCTGTGCTCGCTATCACGTGCCAGATGAAGACACTGACAAATGGCCACTTAATGTTTTCCTCGCTCGATAAAACCGATCCGTCGGTGACGATGTAATCGAAATATACGAACGTATCGTCGGTTCATTGCCAGGATTGCCCGACTTAATCCAGAGTTAACGAAATTAACAGATTATGTGTTAAATAATTTTATCCCTATATAATCTTGTTCTTTTTTTTATTACATTTAATTCCATCGCAAAGGGAAAATATTTAAGTTGAGAAATATTTAATGAAATCTATTTCTTCTCAGAAGAAACATCGCCTTATAATTTTCGGAAGAAAAAAAATTAATTCAACGTAAAATATTTGTAGAGATTATGATCAGAGTTATATTTCGAATTAAACTCTATGAAATGTTGGATATCAATCAATTGTTATCAAATTTTTATTATTTAAACATCACTGCTAGTATTAGATCTAAGTGATTTTAAAAAGGTATTATTAAATATATATATAGTTAAAGAATTTTTGAAAAAAAAAGCAATGCTGGATAACAATCAGTCAATATTACGTGACTTCGATTATTTAACATCATTGTTAATATTAGATGGTTTTAGAAAGTTATTATTCAATATCAAGGATTACTTTGGAATTAAATGATATATACAATTAACGAAAAATAACTCTCAAAAGTCCACGATATTTTTCATAAGTGCACTAACCTTTGAAAAAGAAAGATTCTCTTAACTTTTGTCTATGAATCATATATATTTGTGAACATAAAATGGACGAATACCCGACTTAAATGACATAAATAAATTAAAAAAGATTAGATCTCTAGCAAAACGATTATTATTCCAATACCTGATGCTGTCAAATGAACGCTCCTCTATCCCCTAAAATTCGTGTAATTAATATCATTTATTCGATCGATTATCGACAATTTGAAAAAGGTTAACAATATATTAAAAATAATTATTAACAATATATTAACAATAATTTGAAGAAGATTTTATAAACGATATAATATATAAAGATAAAACAATTGAGAAAGAATTTTTTGTTTTCAATCTGCTCGAAAATAACATGGCCGTCCGATCAATCGAGCCGTTTAAACGAGTTGTTTAAAATATTTCGACGAGTTTCATCGAGGCTGTCCTCTGTTCTGGCGTTTAAATAAAAGCAAGCAGAACGAACAAGTAGAGAGGGTGCGTAACGTCAGGCACACGTGGTGGATGTTGAGATCTCTTCGAATATTTCGACGCGGTGGGTGGATGGACGATCCCCGTTGTATCAATAAACAATCGCCACGATTGAAGCGCGACACGAAGCGCATTGTGCACCGGAAATATCCGGTGGAACGCAGGAGTGGAGCAATTATATAAGGGAGAGGAGATCGAGGAGATAAATCGATCAGAGCGTTAATTGTAACGATGTAATGGTCAGTGGTCGGTGCATTAATGCGAGAGACCGCTTCTTCTGGTTAAAAATTAACGAGATCTATCAACCACCGAGCCATTAATGGCAATTACGCGTCAATTAGCCTGATGGGGCTATGCGTCTTTGGGGATTTGATATATAGGGTCGAGACAAATTTGAAGACATGCCACTGTTTGAATTTAAATGTAGGATCAATATTGGAGTTATTTTAGAAATAATTATAAATAATAAATTATAAATAAATAATGTCAAGCTTTTGAATTAGCTCGTTTTGAAACTCGTTTTAATTGGAAAAAAAGAATGATGATCAATACTTGCATCAATATTATG